TTTGTGGGAATGTTCCGGAGCCAATCGTGAAGGAGCCATACACGAGCAATTCTATGCCTTGACTCAGGAGGTGACAATCATGAAATATAGAGAGAGATTTGAACTATTGTCGGGACGACTACGGGAGATTTCTAAAGCAGAATTGGAGAAGAAGTTTATGAAGGGCTTAAAGCCCAACATACGGGCAACACTCTGACTACTAAGATCGCAGAGATTGAGCTAGATGGTGGGAGACAAGAACCAGATTAAGAAAGCCAGCAGGAGTAGCACAGATGGACTATTGTACGAAACTGTTGCAACCATAATGATGCCAAAAGTTCAAAGAGTGGAAGTCCAGAGGGAGGTAGCATGAGACACGAATAATGAACCATAATTGGGAGTAATACTCAAGCGCCTTACAAAGACCGAGATTCGTGAGAAGCGAGTCAAGGGGTTTGTTTTCGATGTGATGAGAAGTTTGTTCAGGACACCATTGCAAGGATTGAAGATTACAAGTTCTCATAGTGTAGGACGAGAAGACAAAGAATGAAGAAATAGAAACAACTGTAGGGGAGGAGTATTGTTACGAGGGCTTCTAGCCTGAGGGCAAATTTGTCTTTTGTAAGCGCAAGGGCAATTTAGTTTTTTATAGTTTTTATTATTTGGGTATAGATAGGCTTCTTATGTCTAGGGTTAAAGATATGCATGGGATTTAGTTGTTAGTCTTAGGTTTAGGCTTTGGGAGAGAATTTCCTACGTACCTCTCTAATTGTAGGTACTTATCTTTGTATTCTCATTGAGTTTGAGTTATTGAAATAAAATATCTGTTTTACTCTAATTTCTGTGGAGAATCCTGTTGATTTTTGCTTCAGATCCTATCAAATTGCCTTGTTCAATCCAAGGATAGAGTATTTGATACTGTTTGAAGCATTTAAGAACCTATTTGGCGGAGATGTTTGGTTGAAGATTTGGGTTACATAAGGACAACTCTTTTTTTTTTCTTTTGTGATGCAGTATTATTAGCTAGAAATTAAATGTATTATTAGAAAATGACGCATATTGATGTTCAATACCTCTTTATTAGATTGATTGTTGAAGATGACAAGACTTTTTTGAAGATCTACAAATAGAAAAATCTTACTGAAGTTCTTACCAAGGTAATCATATAGATAGTTCCTGAGCTTAATTGATTTGTGTAACTGATGAAGTCCTTACAAGATTTCGGGGAGTTATTAGTTAATTTAAGCATACTTGAAAAAAAAAAATCATACTATGTTATTTATTGATATGAGGATTTGCTAGCAGTGGAATGAATTGTTTGATTTATGTTGTTTATTCATGGCTCTTAATTATGACATAAAATGGCACACTTGTAATTTTTTTCTTTTTTTCTTGCCTCTTGGAAGCCTCATCCATCTATAAATAGATGAGGGGTCTTAAGGGATGAGTAGACCATCATAAGGAGAGAAAAATCTGATCAAGAAGATCAAGAGGAGGAGGAAAATTCAGCAAGGGGAGGAAGATCTTGGAGAGGCTTTAGAATTGAGGGAGAGGTCTAGTAGAGAGAGAAATCTAGAGAGACTTTGTGATTCCTCGATGTAATGAGCCTCTAAATCTTCCTTTGTGCTAGTAAATTTTGGTAGCGATTCCCTCTGTGGATGTAGGTCTAAGGACCGAACCATGTAAATCTTCTTGTGTCTGAGTTCTTGTTTTCTGCGGCATTTCTTTTTCCTTCTTTTAAGATTTCTTCCTTTTTTTTTTCCCTTGCTTTGCTTGCTGCATTATTCCATTTTCTTGGCTACAGTAGTCATTATACGGTAGGTCTTCGGCTGCCAAGAGAAGACTGCAAGTCATTCCTTGGCTACAGGAGAAGATCTGCATTTGGCTATAGGTTGGATTCAGCTGTAGGGTGTCCCGCTGTTCACCCTCTTGAATTGCAGTCCGAGGAGTTCCATTCCTACGAACTGCAGGAAGTGTGCTGTATTCAAGGACAGCAAGGTGTCTAGGCTACAAACGCTCGGCAAGAACAGTTCAAGAGAGGCTCTTGTTGGCCAACATCAAGAAGTTCATAGCAATTACAACGAGCTGAAGTTTCTTAGACAATCCAATCGCTGCAACAAGTGCAGCAAGAAGTGCAGCGAATTTTATATTAAATTCGGTTATTCTTTTTCATCTAACTCAAATACATAGAGAGCTCTTTGGAAGGTTTTCTTTCAGGTGTTCTTGGAACTCGACGAAAGGATTCTTGACGGGGCAAGATTTCACAACAATTTACCTATGAGCATTTGGTAATTTACCCTTTAAGCTCTAACATGTATTCCTATTTTTTTTTTAATTGGACAGCCTTTTGCAACGGATGTTGCAAATAAAACAAGCAGCTATAGTTCTTCTTCATATGAGCAATTTGGTGTAGTAGACACAACAACAAGGCTTTCACATGGTTTCTTCTTGTGAAAATGTGATCATGGGCATTAAAAGGTCTCTCCAAGTTGCATATCAGTGGAGATGGTGTTGTAGATCCTAAGGCAGTCATTCTAAGACTATAGGGATATTGCAAGCTTTTTTTTAATTATTTTTTTTTTTTGTATAGGAATATGTTTGTTTTTTCACATTCTTGCAGATTAGTGAGGGAAGAATTCGTATTTTCTCAGTTTTTTTTTTTTTTAATTTTCTTTTGACAAATAGTGCTCAAGTATGGACAGATCTTCTTTGTCCTCGTTAGTTTTGTAAGAAAGGATTTGCTATAAATTTGTTAATGTTCTTACTTTGTACTCACATATATACACTTGAAAATGGATTTTTGTGCCTTGAACGAACATGTAAATATGGTGTCTTTATTCACATGGTTTTATATTTTTATCTATCATATTTATTTGGTGTTAAATTTGCTTATTATAGGATTACCCTATTGCTCTTTTTTGCTGTTTCTAAAGAGAGTCAATTTTTCTGTTGGGACTGTTATGTCCTGTGAAACTAAGTACATTTTTCTTATGTTTATAGGCAAAAGGAAACTGGACTTAAAATGTACATCTATGATAATAGAAGTTGTGGTTGCTGGATTAGACAATATCATATCTCTATTTAAGTAAATAGGGTTATTTTAAAGGACTAGAAAGAAAACTGACATTTTGAAGGTAATTTGAATAGAAGTTATATAAAAATTTGCACAAAATAGGGCTAACACCTCTTGCAAGAGGTATGAATGGAGAATGATGATTAAAGCCAACCACAAATAGTTGGGATAGAGCTATTGAATGCTTTTTCTTTAAAGGTTCAGCTTAGTTTAAAATTGAATCAGTTTTGCCAATGAAACAAGCTGACATAAATGTTTGAATGCACTTTCTCTGATAGGACAATTTTTTTTAAGTATTTCTCATGTTTAAACATTACTTGTGATATTTTGCATGGAATTTGCAGGTTGGGATCATACATTCCATCAACAAGTTTCATGACACGCTCCCGAATGTTAACCTCGCCGTATCACTGCATGCACCAGATCAGGATATCCGGTGTCAGATAATGCCTTCTGCGAGAGCTTTTCCTCTTGGAAGGCTTATGGAAGCCCTTCGAGCCTATCAAGAAAAAAGGTCAGTTTTGTAATATGGTATTTCTAACATCCCCTTAAGATGCATGCGGTTACTGTTTTTGTAAAAAAATTATTACTTGTTATTTCCTCCAGTCAACAGAAAATCTTCATCGAGTACATTATGCTTGACGGCGTAAATGATCTTGAGCGGCATGCACACCAGCTTGGCAAACTGTTGCAGACACTTGAAGTGGTCGGTATTGATTTTTTGGAAGATTTACATAGATGCCAATCAGTATTTTCATATATAACACCAAAACTTCAATTTTTACATATATGCCATCTATCTACGCATGAAAAGCTGTATTTCACTTTTCAAAATTTAACTTAGGGGTGTTTTTGATGTCTTGTGAAAGATTTGGGGGGTATAATTGTGAAAAAGTAAAGTTTAGAAGTTAGATATGTAAATATCTGTTAATTGGGTGGTATGCATGTAAAAGCCCTTTATTTATTTTTTTTAGCTTCGCAATTAATTAGAAGGTTTTGTTTTTTCATGCTGTTGAAAGTTTGTCTTCTTTAATTACACATAATTTGGGAAATATCTGCGTTGAGATAAGAGCATGAAAAGCTTATTGTAATCACTTTTGTCTCAGTTAGGAGCCTTAGCTCGTCGTGTTATTGCTAACCATTGTTGTGTGTATTTATTGAATACTAAACTTGAGTCAAGCAGGTCTGCATTGTCTCCTAAAACTTTGCTTGGCGTGAGCGATGGACCGGAAAGCCATGCGATAAGGAAAAGTTAGACCAAGCAATATCATGATCCTATTTTCTAGCTTCGGTCATTATATAGGCACACCCTCCATTTAGCTGCATTTGTGATGTTGGATCAAAATCCGGTAGGCTCGCTTGATTTGCTTGTTTCTATTTGACTAAATGTCAATTCCTTCCTGTTAGAGGAAGGCCCAATCTTGTTTCAACTAGGTGCCTGTAGAACTACTAAGTACTGGCCGATGAATCATTCTTTTACAGCTTTTCACAGTTCTATTGTAAAACTCCCGATCTATGCCACATTAATAGATTAATTGGGCTTTCAAATTTGTAAATCATATTTTTAAAATCCCATGCACAGGCACATACAGAAGTTATGTTAAATGATGTCGAAATTGAATCATTCGACTCGCGTTTGAATAATTATGGATTTATGCATTATTTTTAAAATATGAAAAAAAATGTGTCAATTGCCCTTCAAATATTTCAAAAATTCGTAATAGCTTAAAAAATATATATTTGGTTTTTCTGGAAATGTCTTTAGATCAAGGATGACTTTGTGGACCCTATGATTGCTTTCAGTTCAATTCAAATCTTTCTAAGCTTATACATAATGATTTCTACTTAATTCTGGCTAGTAATGCAAGGTGGGCTGATGATATTCTTGTTGTGGATAAGACTAGAGAAAGAGTTTAAGAAAAAAAATGAATTATGAAGGTTTACATTAGAGTCTAAAGGCTTTTGTATGAATAGATCTAAAATTGAATACATGGAATGTAATTTAGCAATAGTAGTTCTAATGACAGAGTTGTAACTATGGGTGATCAAATCATTAAAAGGTGTGAGCATTTTAGATATCTTGGGTCCATTGTTCAAAGTGATGGTGATATAGATGGGGATGTTATTTGTGGAGGAATGCATCGGGCCTATTGTGTGATAGAAAAGTGTCGTTTTGACTTAAAGGAAAATTTTATAAGATGGTGGTGAGACCTGCAATGCTCAATGGCGCAGAATGTTGGCCTTTAAAAGAGAACAAAAAATAGAGTTAAGTGTTGTTGAGATGAGAATGCTTAGGTGGATGAGTGGTTTGACACTTAGAGAAAAAATGCAAAAATGCGAAATGAATATATAAATGAATATATCTATGATAGGGTTGGTATAGCTTCAATGGTTTACAAGATTAGAGAGAGTCGTTTTAGATGGTTTGGTCACATTAAATGTCGACCATTTGATGATCCAGTTTTGGAGAGTACCTATTTTAGATATTAAGAAAGGCAGATGTAGACCTAAAAAGACTTGGGCATTTTGCATAAAGAATTATCTTAATCTATTAAAATTAAATGGAATATGACACTCAATAGGACGTAATGGAGAAAAAGGATTCATGTAACCGATCCTACTAAGTGGGATAAAGACTTGTTGTTGTTGGTGTTGTAATGCAAGGTGGGTTTCTTAAATAAAATTAAATCCCTTGAAAACTTCAAAATAACCAAATTGAGGGACTGCCCTGTCTTGTTAGACCGAGAGAGTGGAACTTTTGTTTGACTTAATGGTCCTAGAAAGATAGGTTGAAATTTGTCTAAACATCCATAATGTATTTTTTCAACATTAGAATATTGTGAAATAGTGATTTTTATCAACGTGAAGGGCGCTACATTCTCAAAATGGCTTCAAGAGTGTTTTAAAATTTTGTTTGACAACCTTGTCTAGTTTTCAACTTTAATTAATAATTGAGTTAGCTTGACTTCTACCATAAATAAACAAATACGAGGAGAGATGCACTCACCTAATAAGAGAACACCTAATCGCAATTCTTATGAGCATAACCAAAGGCTTCTAGTGGTTGGATGCAATGCATTGATTTGCATAGTGTGCTATGAAATCTGATTACTATAATTTGAGATTTGTCAAGATATTTAGCATTACATTTAATATAGATTTTCAAGATTGTTTGATAAGAAAAACCGTTCTCAATTTAAGCATCCATACCAATGGTTGTAAGTATCATTAATATTGTACGATTGGTATGAAACCTATTAATCTTTGTAAGGCTTCTTTGCATCTGAAATTGCAAGTTCCATCCCCATCTCCTTTGGATGTAATTTCATTCTTGGGCATTTCATTGCCCCAACTCAGTTAGGTCGGCTGGCATATAACTAATAAGCCCATTAGATTTTGTCCTCAACTCCTTTGGCCATCTTTGCCTCTCTATAAAGTTGCGAGTCCTGTTTCTTAGCTTTCCTTTTTTTAGATATAGGCCCACTTTTGGGCCTTTTTCTTAATGTAAGAATCAATTCTGGAGGAAGTTAAACCAATTATATTAATCTTCTCAGCCAAAGTTGTAAATTTTCTATGTTATATCTTTTTATAAGCCCTAAGACAGGCTAGATAAAGTTATCAAACCAGATAAGTCGAGCCTCAACTTTAGGCCTCGCTTTGCTTAAGGTTGTTGGCATCATTTTCTCTAAGATCAAAGTCTTAAGTTAAACATCTTTAGGCTTTTTAATGATTTGTAAGTCTCATATTTCAAGTCCCTCTAAATTTAGATCTGTATGCTCCAATCTTTTGTTCTTTATAAGATTAGATTATATTTCGCAATCTTTGGATACTTTTTTATGCATAAATCAAGAAAATCAATCGCATGATTTAGGGATTTTTGAGAGAGACAAAGAAGAAGCCCAACAAAATTATACGAAAGCCCAAATAAGTAAGGAGAAAGTCTAAAGAAAATTTCAAAAACTTCGAACATGATCTCAAGCTAGGCTCAAGCGTGAATTATTGTCACGATAGATGTTTAATTTTTTATCCATATTTTAGTTTTTTTAAATATAATTGTTATTTTTTTGAAATGATGTTAGCATGTGTGAGTTGCAATGATATTTCTAGGAGGATGGAAGTGGTGACCATGCATTCGTAGCATGAATTTTTTCCAAATACTTGATATCCTACATTTTTTCTCATTATCTTCTTTCACCTCCATAAGATTCTCTTTTAAAACATTTGTATTTTGAATAGGTTGTATTAAGTCTTAGGGTAGAATTTGAATGAATGAAAATCTAGTTTTGGATGCTTTCAAAATTAGAAGTTTGAGGATTCTTTGTGCTTGGTAGCCTCTGCTCTCCTCTTGAGAGTTGGTTGGTGGAATTTTTTATTTTCATCCTTTAAAAATATCTTCATTCAACGATGAGGTAATATTTTACGTGTGATTCTAGCATTCCTTACAGCTTTCTCACTATTCTTCCAAGCCTCAACCTTGCATGCAAGTGGCTTGGAAGCCTATCCTTAGCTATTGGCCATAATTTCTCCCCCTTTACCCAAACTCCACATATCCGAGCACTCCACCCACAAACCACACTCACACTCACATAGGACCTCTTCTCTACATCCCACCATGTCCCTTAGAACATAAAATAACTACTAAAATAAACTGTGCTTTAATCTTAACCTCAATTGCCAATTCACAAATCAACCCCCATTATATTAATCCATCATTGACCTCTCCAAATTAGTTTATCCACTTCGGATCATAACTTCATAATGCTGAATAAACCAGTTACATTCCTTTCCCCATTTTTTTAGCCTTCATTAAACCAATTTATTAAGGATTTAAATAGAATCAACTCAAAGTAGCCCAAACTGAGCTAGTATTGGGTCTACCATCACCAAACTACTCTAAGGGCCTCAACCTTCCACAAAAACTCTAGGTCAACCCTACACTACCCAACTAATTCCCAATAACCTGAATAAAGCAAAGAAAATATTTGTTGACTTTCTCTGAAATCCACACAAACTTGCTAGCTTCAGTGCATGCAAAGTCACCAGGATAGCTTTAATTTTTTACTGTAATACTCGTCTTAAGCTCGGAACCTGAAACACCATTTTAAAATCTTCCCAACAAATTTAAAAATTTAAGAAGCTTTTCACATCTGTGAGCCATCATCTCATGGGGAACATCCTTCACCATCTTTATACCAAGATCTATATATCCCCACATTGTTGGGGTTATGGAATATTTAGAGTTTTAAGCCTTGCATCTTTAGAATCCTCTAAAATTTAAGTTGTAAGTTCTATATCTTTGGGCCTCCCTTAATTAGAGTTATAAAACCCACACATCTCTGGGCTTCTATGCATCTAAAGTTGTAAGGCCCACCTATTTAAACTTCTATAAGATCAGAGCTACTAGTTTGACATTCTTAGGTTCTTTAAGATCAAGTTTGTATTCCTCATACCTACAGACCATTAAGATAAATTTGTAATCTTTATTCTCTCGGGCCCCTTCATGATTAGAGTTGTAAGCTGACATTCTTGGTCCGCTTTAAGATCACAATTGTAAGCCTTATCTTTTTCTAAATTTCCTCATTCTTTATGTTGTTACTAATTATTCCCACTCACAGGTCCTTCTCCTAGCTATAAAATGCAACCTTGGTCAGATTTTGTGCCAAAAATAAGTTTTTCGAACATCCCTAGCTTTTCTGCATCTTGTGTTATAAATTACATTTCTTTGGGTTCTCTAAAATCTTTGCATGCAAACTTTGGGCCTCTCTAAAATAAGATATTCAATTCTTGGACCTATTTAAAATTTGAGTTGTAAGTCCTCTACAAACTTTGGACCTCTCTGCATGAGAGTTATATGTCTCGTTTGTTTTGACCTCTCTAAGATAAAAGTCATATGTCCCACATCCTTTTCTAAGATAAAAGTCATAAGTCCCACATCCTTTGAGCTTTTTGATATGCCTGCACCTGCTGCAGACGAGCTAGTCCAGGGAAGACCGGTCTGGACCAATCAGACCTAGCCAGTCCAGTCGGCATGGCCACGTTAGCCGGCCTAGCCTAGAGGGGGCCAAAGCCGTAAGGATTGCCGAGGACGATTCCAATTTTTGGGTGACACACAATCGTTAATTGGAATGACTTTAAAAATTCTATTGTAAAACTCCCAATCTAGGCCTCACGGATGGATTAATTAGAATGGCTTTAATTGGAAACTCTTGTTTGACTCGATGGCTCTAGAAAGATTGTTTGAAATTCGTTGAAACATCCATAATATATTTTTTTAACATTAGAATATTTTGAATTTGAGATTTTGATCTACGAGAAGGGCACTACATTCTCAAAATTGCTCAAAGAGGTGTTTTAAACTTTTGCTTGACTACCTTGTCTAGTTTTCAACTTTTAATCATAATTGAGTTAGCTTGACTGGTACGGCAAGTAAAGCGATAAGAGGAGAGATGCTCTCACCTAATAAGAGAACACCTAATCACAATTCTTATAAGCATTACAAAAGGCTTCTAGTGGTCGGATGCAATGTATTGATTCATATAGTGTTCTATAAAATCTAATTAGTGTAATTTGAGATTTGTCAAGATATTTAGCATTACATTTAATATTGGTTTTCAAGACTTTTTTATAACAAAAATCCTTCTGAACTTAAGCTTCCATACCATGGCTTGTAAGTCTCATTAATATCGTTCTGTTGATATGAAACCTATTAATCCTTGTAGGGCTTCTTTGCATCTAATACGTAGGGCTGTAAACAAGCCGAGCTTGAGCGAGCTCAGGCTTGGCTCGTATTCGGCTCGTTCGAAATAGCTCGTGTTCGAAATCGGCTCGTGAACAGTGTGTTCGTGTTCGACTCAATTTAAATATTCGTGTTCGTGTTCGGCTCGTGTTCGGCTTGAAATTGGCTCGTTAAACTAAAATT